TGATAGTAGTAGTTGTAGTAGTAGTAGTAGTAGTAGTAGTAGCAGTAGCAGTAGCAGTAGCAGTAGCAGTTGGTAGTAGTAGTAGTAGTAGTAGTAGTAGTAGCAGTAGCAGTAGCAGTAGCAGTTAGTAGCAGCAGCAGCAGCAGCAGCAGCAGCAGCAGGGGCAGGGGGCAGGATCAGGAGCAGGATCAGGAGCGGTAGCAGCACTAGCACTAGCATCAGCCCTAGCGCCAGCGGGAACGGGAGCAGGAGCAGGAGCAGGAGCGGCAGCAGCAGCAGCAGTCGCAGCAGCGAAAACACAATTTTGAAATGGTAATGGAAGTAGTGGTAAAAAGATGTGCAGTAATAATATGACAGTAAGAGCATGTAGAAGCACCGCAGCAGTGCTGGAATGACTGGTGGTGCTCGTAGCAGATAGCCTTATTCACTATAGTTGCAGCCGCAGAGTAAGCAATATTAGTGATGATGCTCATGTTACCGTAGTGGTGGCAGTGAACGGTAGTGGCAGCAGCATCGGTAGCAGTAACTATCAGCTAGCAAAAACGCCACTTCGACTTGAAGTTGCATTACGGACACGTAATAGCAAAGAAAAGCACACGAACAGCGAGCCTCTAGCAAAAAGACCAGCTTTCAGTTGTGTATGGTTGCAGCATCGCACCGTCTGCTCGCTGTCAGGTCGCTGAGAAGCTGCTCGGACTACTTCCTGGCGAAGTCTTGGCTGTGCACATGACACGATGGGGACAGGTGGAGTGGGCACTAGGGTCCTACTCGAAGCTTGGCCGGTGTAGACAGGACAGCAGCAGTACCTCCTAGGTCTTGCGACGCACGAGCAATGTCATAGAATGGACATTGATGGCTGGTGCTTGTTGGTGCTTGCGGTGCGATCCTACGAGCTGGCTTTTAAGGCACTTGGGTTTCAGGCTGCCGGGCTGGGGGGGGCCCTTCTGTGGCTGTCATTCGAACCCCTCTGCTAACAGCGCCTTTCTTGCTGCTTCTTTGGCTCATGCTTCAGCAGTTAGCACGTGCATGTGCGCGCCCACCATTTCAAATGTATGTCGAAGTACCCTACTGAGCGGCAACCGAGGATGAGCACGAAAGATGCGGCAGCTTTGCTGCAGTCAGTACAACCTTGCCTGCCCCCTTGATTCTTGAATGCTCCCGAGGAGTGGGACGATGTGCGGTCATTGGTTTCTGGCATGGAAAGCAGAAGGATTCGGCTTGCAGGCGAACATACCCACGAAGAGCATCAGGACGGGCCCTCAGAGATTACTGCTCCGTTCCGCACGTGGTTCGAGATCTGTGGCACACTTCCGAATGCGCTGACACCCGGGATCGGTATGAGAAGCATTGTGACACCTGCGAAACCTGTGAGAGGCGTACTCGTAGCCGGGTTGTATCTGTGTCGCTGGACTCAGGGAGGCTTTCATGCCGCCTATCTGTCTGGCATACGTGCTGCAGAGGAGGCCTTGCAAGGCTGGGCCAGTGCTTTCCTGTGCCTCAGACGCCTTGTGAAGCTAGGACAGTCTGCTGCAGTTACCCGTGCTCCTGTTCTTGTTCTCCAGGCCTGTCTGGCCTTCCAAAACATGATGCACTCCATCTGGGCAAGGACCCATGAGAAGATGTGGTCCGCGGTGCCACAAATGTGGCCGGCGCGTGGGTTGAGCTTGCCTCGATTTGAAATCGGTATCGTCATTGCGTCGCTTGCCGGTAACAACAGAAGCCAAGCAAGATGGCTGCTTGCTGTGATGCTCCTCCTGCTCCTTCTATTGAAGTGTAGCAATTTGCAGAGCTGCGCAGGTTTGCATCTGCCATTTGTAGGTCATGTGGAATGTGCGGATTCACTCGAGCACTCGCACGCTGGCTCTCGCATAGCCCGAGACGTGTAGAGGTCCCTCTGGAAGGTCGGGGGAGGGCCAGGGGTTCTTAGGCTTGCAGGCCGAGCGTGGCCCTTGCGCTGCGGCTGACCCCTTAGATGCCTTAGCTCACGTATTTATCGTCTTGACAGGATCTTACGCAAGGAGTTCGTGCTTTTCATTGTGGCAGTCTTTCCAAGTGCGTCAGTAAGGCCATGAAAAATGACGATGTCAGCGAGGGCAGCCGGGAGCTGGTCGACCTCAGCGCAGAGGTGCGCACACAAGAGATCTGCATATTATGCTTGTGGGGCCGTTGCACATGATGTTCAATCTGCCTCTATCGCCACATTTGCTGCGTCTAGTCCTTCTAGTTCTCATGACATCTCTCCGCGCTCAGCACATCCCGATGTGCGTTGCATCTCGATGTACGAGTCTAACCATGTTATAGACCATAGCCATAGACACTAACACGCACCAGCTCTTGAAACCTGCGAGGCTGTCAGCTCATTGGGCATTCACCTTGCTCAGATCGGGCAGATCATCTCCAAGTGCAGCCCTTGAGCTTCCCCGCTGTTCTCAGGATACCGGCAATTCTGCACTTCAAGCGACCCTGGGACAGGTCCCAGCTACCTCCTAACAGAGGGGAGAAGAGCTCAGCGCACAAGCTGAAGAACTCTCTAGAGATGTACCAGGCCAGCCAACTTTTCTGGACTGCTTGTGACGCAGTGAGAGCTCCTGCTCCGCCCAGGGCTACACTGATGAAGTGCAGCGCAGAAGAATGGAATTAGAGACCGCCTGGCATGTCGAGTGACGAGTGTGACGAGTGTATCTGCTTCCTGCCCTCGCGAATTAGGCAGAAGATGGCAGATGACTTCGCCCGGCTGAAAGCCTGGCGCGCACAGTCCGGCACCGAAGGCCAGGCCAGGCTTGGTGGACAAGAAACCTGATGGTGACAGCGCTATAAGAGCAGCACAAGAGTATCTCGGAAATGCGGTCACCAAAAACAACATGTGTGTGGTCATACTTGCTTATGTATCTACGTATGTATGCCTGATTCTGCATACAGTTTGCATGCATGCGGTGGATGGATGGATGGATGGATGGAAAAACATCGTAATGGAGACATAATATGTAGCTGTGGTTGCGGGGCATGTCGTCGTCGTCTTCGTTATGTTAGTTGCAGCTGCTGCTGCTTCTTCTGCTGCTGCTGCTGCTGTTATTGCTGTCACCTGTAGTTCTGCTATTACATGGATAGTCTCTGCACCAGCTTGCGCTGCATAGTTCAACATGAGACTTTCCTTTTAGTCGTGGTATTATGATTTGTTGTGACCAGCATTATCAGTACTATCTACCATCCAGCCTTTCATGTTGATGATGATCGCGTTGGTCGAACACTTGTCTGCAGACCCTGCAAGCTGCAGAAAGTTCTGTCATGTGAAGGCAATGTGTTACTGGCACAGGCCAAGCCCTAGTGATCCTTGTCATGCATGGACTCATCAGGCTCAGGCTTTCGAACGTTGTTGCCCTCACTCCTATGTATCCTCGACTCGGCTCACGTGACCCTTCCGCCTGCTCAGGCAAGGGTCTTGTCGAGGAGCTGGAGGCACTGTATGGAAAGGTTCGGCAACAGGCCGGATGCTTGCCTGCTACGTTATAAATGACGGACGCAAGGAGTTGTGATCCCTTCGAGAATTCCGATTTGAGACTGCAGAAACGCGGTATTACCCTGCTCGCTCCAGCAAGCCGTCAGGACAAAGAGATAAAAAAGAAACAGCAGCAGATAGAGGAGGAGCAAGCGAGAGTCGGGAGCTTCAATGTTTGCTTGCAGCAGTACGTGCGCTGACCCGCAGACAGTTGCAACGTGGATGTGTGATTCATCAACCTGCGAGGAAGGTGCAGTGACGTGAACATCATAGTTTCACGCAGGAACAATCGTCGAGATAGTAGCGCCGAATAGCGCTGACAGTGATACGACAGGACCGCATTGGGGACCGCACCAATCACAACGGTACAACTTTCCAGCAGGGCTACTGATGTGCCTTTGCATGCATGAACAAGGTCAAGGAGTTGGAAGAGGCGGTCGCACTAAGGGAAAGGAAGTGGGACTCTTTGGCAGAGGACAGTGCTTGCCTTCATCATTAGAAACATTGCAAAAACTTTTGCGAAACTACGATGCTGACTCGTCCTTGTCTGTCGCAGGATTATGGAAAGAAGCTGGTCAAGATGAGAAGAGAGGCACGTACAAATAAGACGGGAAGGCTTCATCATTGACCCATATTGACACCAGTTGCTCGTGTTGTGGCTTCTGGATCAACAGGGTTCCACCGAAGAGCTGAGCTGCCGTGCAAGTTCCTTCCCTCTCAACAGACAGGTGTGTCTTGCAATTTCCTTCGTTGCACGTGTTCTCATAATCAGATCGTCGAGCGCGGCGGCCTTTGCTCTTGGCTGCAGCGTCTTGTCCGAAGTTCGACATCAGGTTTGGGAAGATTGCAGTTTGGGCTAGGCAAGGAAAGTTGGCGTGCTTCAGCGGTTCGGAGACACAGTTAGGTCATGCATGTTGCTTCGCTGCTGTGCATACGGTCTAATCTGGATTGGTGGCGAATGGTATCGATTAAAGGATCGGCAGAAGATCATCAACAGATTCGCTGCTCGTGTTGAGTGGCATCTATGTGCGTGTTAATGATGTTTATGAATCCTGACTTGCTACAGCAAAAGGTCTTTCGCTGGTGCCATTCCTATGACATATGATGACTACTACCACGACTGCTACTGTTCTCGTGCTACCAGTTTGACCACCACGGTTTCCATCCCGCTGTTCGATTCATACAGGGATCCTGTTCCCTTCGTTTTCCTTTAGT